TCTTCCGATCAAAGTTTTATGTCATTGGATTGGATATAAAATATTGGTCAATAAAATTTTAAATAGAATATAGAAATGCCTTGAGATTTCTCCTTAATTATGCGAGGATTATAAAGAAAAGACTAGTATTCTTATTTTTGGTTTCCTTTGTGGACAAAGATATAACCTTATGAAGCTTATATTTTTCAGGGGAGTGGCATGGGTGGATGTTCCTGAGCAAATTCCATTAGGATATTCCTCTCTCCTGAATTGTTGCCAAACATTGTTTCTGATGTTGATCATCTTCAATCAAAAGGCTTGAATACGCATTATTCCACATGATGAATTAATATAAATATATATTATTCATTTATGCTTTAAAACCATGCCACATTTTAGATGTGTTCATCACAATTTAAAAGTGTAGCTGAAATAGTGTTTATCAACGTCTCTCACTCTCTTACATGCTTCCCATCTGAATCAGATGCCTTTTAAAAAAAGATTTCTTTCTGATAAGATTCCACAATTCTTCTCTTTTATTCGTCTTTAATTATTTCTGTATAATAACCTTTGAAGAAGGAAACAAACCCAAATCCGACAAATAGCATGCTATTACCTCATCATCTGCCTCATTGTTACATCAAAGGCTTTATTAGTGATCATTGCTCACCCTCTTCTCATATCTATGCTAAAAATCAACCCAACCCTTTTCTTCTCCAACTCTCATGGAAAACATAGACACTTCAAAATTTCCACACCAATCTCAAAACCAAAACAAGAATCTTTCCTTGATGCCTATTGAGATAGACAAATCCTATGAGAAGAGAGTCGTGAAGGTTCCAACAGTAGGAAACAAGAGAGAGAAAAGGTTTCTTGGGGTGAGACAAAGGCCTTCAGGAAGATGGATTGCTGAGATCAAGGGCTCCTCACAGAAACTAAGGCTTTGGTTAGGAACTTTTGACAAAGCAGAAGATGCTGCCATGGCTTATGACTATGCTGCAAGGCTTCTTAGAGGGAGAAATGCCAAAACCAACTTTCCAAACCCTGGAACCATGAACACTCATGAGGAAGACTGCAACATTTTGGGTAAGAATCCTAGGGCTTACCAGCTTCTTAAGCATGTAGTGATGAAGAACCATGCACTTTCCACAGTCATGCCTTGGAAAAACCAAATCATGATGAGAGACAAATTTGACACCCTTGTTGAGGAAACTATAGTCTGTTCCATTCCTGAACAAGGCTCTGATGGGTGCTGTGGAATTTCATTAGGAAGTTCTAAGGTTTATTCTTCTGTTGTTGTTGCTCCTTCTTTTAGTGCTTCTCATGAAGAAACCCCCTAAGCTAGTAGGTCTTATTGATATTGTTGCTTATGTCTCCCTTCAAACCCTATTTTACTTCACAACAAATATCAAACTCTAGTTATCTTCACTAGATATCTGATATCTGTTACATGCATGTTGTCACCAGATGATGATGATCTACTCCCCTATGTGATATTTTTTGCTTTACTATAATATGGGCAGCCAAAAACATTTTTACTTTCATTTCTTGAAGTAATGGCTTCTTATGTATCATAAGACTCGTTATATTCATATATATTTCATATTTACTTTTGGAATAGATGTAGTGTTCTTGTCTTCCATTACATATGGAACACTTTTTTTTATGGATTAGCTAATACCGACTGATGGGGATGTTGGTTAGTGGTTCCATTGGGCCATATCTGTGTGCTCATTCCTGAAAGACCAAAGAGGGAATGAGATACATAAATTATTTATTAGAAAGTCTATTTAAATACAACTTTATAAGAATCTTTTACTAAAAATTAAAAAAAAAATTCAGTGAAAAAATCCTAAAAATTCTTCTCAATCTCTATCAAATGAGAGTCATAAGGTGTGTTTAAAAATTAGTTAAGTAAGGTTGAAAAAAAAGTTAAGTTCATAATTTTTTTTTTCATTGAACATAATTTTAGATCAATATCTAAACATACACATTACTACAAAAATAACTTTTAATCACATTCTTGTGGTAGGAAAAATTAATTATCATTAAATCAATCATAAACTACATGATTTTGTAGTTAATAAATATTAATTAATCACTAAAATTTATCATTTATTAGCTATTATTATTTTATATATGTAATTAATTTAATTAATTTTTTTTTGACGATTTAATGAGTTTTTACTAATAATCAATAAATAAAAAAATTCATAATAATATTAATAATTCTGGATATATTGACCATTATTTAATTATTAGTAAATAAAATAATAACTATTTATATAGTCCCTAAAAATCAAAATTATAACCGCAAAAAGTTATCTTTAGTGTTGTGTGACAACATAATCTATTAAAATTGATACCGAGCAGTAACGCCACCACATCAAAAGGTTTACTGCATCCTAATTTTGTCAAGTTGTTATTAAAGTCACTTTCTTTCATTTCATGTAATCATCTCATATTTACAAACCACCTTATATATCCAACCACGTTCTTTCATCATTATATGAGAAATTCTAGGTATTGTGGGATATAGTTATTTTATTTTTATTTTTATTTATTATAATTACTTGTTTTATTTTTATTTTAATTTAATATTTTTAATAATTTATTTGTATAAAGTTTTTTATATCTTTATATTATTTTTATATTTTTTAATTTTTATCTTAATGTAGCATCTATTATATTATTTTTATATTTTTTAATTTATATCTTAATGTAGCATCTATTATAATTAAAAAGTTTAATATTAATATTTTGTTATATATTTTAGGTTTTTTTATGATATTTTTTTTAAATTTATAGTATAAATTAGTTTTTCAGTTGTATTATTTGTTTTTTTTTATATTTTAATGTTTTTATAATATTATTATAATTTTTTGTTTTTAATTTTTTAATTTTGTCATATTTAAACAAAATTTGTTATGAAAATTGACCTTTTGATTATTTTATTTGAATTAGTCTTTTTGTTTGATTCATCTTATACAAATTTTTAATCTAAAATGTATGTTATTTTGAATTTACTTTTTAAAATTTATTTGTTCACATAATTTGATGTACCAAAACCTTTCAATTTTCATGGGTACCATAGAAGCTCCCTAATTATATAAGCTGCTAATAATTACAACAATTATATTTAAAATGCGTGTAAACTATATAGACTCCAACTAGAAAAATGTTTTGATGTTCTTTTTCTCAAAATATGTTTAGTACAACAATATATTCGAAGATATAGACACGAATTGTATGAATATTCTATATGTTTTGAAGCATCACAATTTATTTTGTGCAAAAATAAGAAAGAAAAACAAAATGGTTAATTTAATTATGTGTTTCAATAAAGGAAAGAAAGGCTAGAAATTAACCCAACGCTTTTTTTGTGTTAATTGAAAATTTGTGGCAATTGATGTTATATCAACTTACTGATATCAATTCTCTCATTTATAAATTTATGGAGAAACAATGTGGTAGGTACAAACAAAAGAGAAGTATGTTGGATAAATATGGAATATTAACAACACACTTCCTTATTGATTAAAATTTATTAAAATTTGTAAGATCATGATAGATATTAGTTAAATAGAATATGAGATTCCCCAAATTTTATAATATTTAATAAATTTCAACCAATTAAAAATAATGTAACTTTTTTTACCAATGTTGAAAAATTTATTCGTTAGTTTTAATTACATTATTATAATATATGTGTTGTGGTAATAAGGGTGTCACACATGTTCATTAATAAGTACATTGTATCAAAAGCATAACATATTGGGTATTTTAATTTAGACTTGCATGGTTTAATCTTCAACACGTTTATTTCAATAAGGTTAAGATCAATTGATTCAACTGAAAATATTAAGAAAAGTTGTTATTCTTATTCAAGAAAAATTGAAATATTTTTTTTATAAATCCAATTCACTCCCCTCTTGGATTAACCATCTTTTCTAAAACCTCGATGTCACATCCATTTAGAGCTCTATCAACAAGCACACCGTGAGATTTAAGTCTCATCACTAACATCATCATCTTGATGATTTTCACCTGCAAAACACACACAAAGGTACAACAAGCAAAAAAGTGGAGTGAGATATGTCTCACTTTGACTACTGGTGTGAGATAGTATCGAATAACCACACACAACGATAAACATAAGAATGTGTGTGTGTGTGTATATATATATATATATATATATATTCATAACATTTCTCTGGATAAATAATGAAGAAAAAAAATTAGCAAATAATTAAAAATTGTTTTCACACAGAAATTTTCAAAATTTTGGGAAAAAAAATTCATTTTTTTATGAACCAATTAAAAATAAGAATTTTTTTTTTATCATGGTAAAGGCATTGATCTAATCATAGTTTATAATTTAATGGTGCTACCACAATTTTTAATAAATTGTCCCGAACTACCCTTAAATTTAATTATAGTAAATAGTATGTTGATATCACATGTTCCATGACCCAAATTATTAAGTATCACTACGAACTTCCCTATTTCATAAGTTTTACAATTCAAAGACGTGCTAACTGCCAACTTCCGAAGCAAAATACATAATTATTCGTATATATGTCATTCAAATTGGGCCCCAAAAAGTTTTTTTTTATTCAAAATTGTCGTCAATGTATTAGTACTGAACTTTTTTTAGCATTCTAATTATCAATGAATAAATACAAAATTGTTTACTTTTTTTATTCCTTCAAACAGTCCTTTCTATTTTAAATAACCTAGACAACCTCTAGAAGTTGTATAATCCTATAAATTGAAACGAGGAACGCTAAATTTTGCGAAAGATTACTACACACCAAAAAGAGAACTGAAATCTGATTAATTAATTTTCACTCCAACCAGTCATATATGTTTATTAGTGTCCTGATTGATCGAACCACTAATGCTTGCTTTTCGTGACAAATTTTCTTCATGACAACATTGACAAAATCCTTGAGTTTTTGGAAGTTAATCTATAGAGAAAACAGTCCAATTTGTTCCATCATAATTATAGATCCACTAGCCTATCAAGGATAATAATGCTGCATAAACCTATAATCATCACTCTTCAATAATCACTTATTTGAACATTCTGATACTTTCTTTTTTTCTTTTGGTGGATATATAAGATAAGCATAAATTAGATGAATGCATTTCATTCCAAATAACATCCATGCTTCTTTTTTTATGCGTGCTTTTTCTCGATTCCCACTAAACTCAACACAACAGACATAAATAGGATATAAACAACACTTGTTCTCATAATGAATATATTTAAAAAAATCTCAGGATACCACTGTGCTTATGTTACAACTTTTCGTCATTATCACCATTTTATAAACGACAAAAAGCCATTATAATGGAATTTGGCATCTTGTAATGGCCATTTTCTTTGGTAGGCTAGCCACCATATATATATCTATATATATGGTCATTTTCTGCAACCACAAACCCTCTTCTTAAAAATTAAATCCTTGTTATTTTCAGCCTCACAATCATCACTACCTTCGACATATTGCACCAACATAGATAGTAGACACGATTAGCATGCGCCAAGTCATGGCCATCATTATATATGTATCAAGGTCTAAGCCACCACTATCTTTTCAATAAATTAGTTACGCAAAACAAAGGCCTAAAAATCACTCGGTATACAGGCTGGCGACCAGAGATTTGCATAATTAACGTAATATGGAAATTTTAAATTTCAGTATCATTATCATTATTATTGTATAAAGAGAATAGCTAAATATTCCAACCCTTCTCTTTTTATTTCATCAAATGGAGATGAAATCCGGTTTTGACGGTCAGTAAATCTCTCGGAATCTCTTGTAAGTGTGACTCTTAATCATGAATTGTACGATCATCTCACTTTAAAAGAATTTACAACTATGTTTCTTACTTTTTGCTAATATATATATATATATATATAAGATAAAATTTAATACCAATTAAATTAAAATTCATATTTAATTTAAATTCACAATAATACAATTATATATAAATATATAGTAAAAAAAATAGATAGATAGATAGAAACACTATACAACTGTGTATTTATTTTTGAAGAGTTGAGAGAAGATGGTTGTAACTGTAAAAAAATATTAAAATTTAAAAGTAGGTAATCATACAAATTAATAAAAAAAATAAGTGGTTTTTTTTTCTTTTACTACAAAAAGCAAGTAGTTCTAAAAGTTATAAAATGTGTAGTATAATTTCAAGAGTATAAATATTTAATAAAAATAAAATGGAAAATGTAGTTACTAAAACATATTTTCCTTATAGTATGTTTAGAATAGCACCTCAACAATTTCAATTTTCATAGACAATCTTCGATATTTACGACTAGATATTCCTATAATTGATTCACATGTATATGTCAATTCATATTCAAGTTATTGTTAAATGGAAACTACTAAAAGCTTGTTATTTTTTATCAATAGACATTTTATGCTGTGTCTCAAAGTTGATATTTATTTAATTTGCATTCATGAAACATATCTTTCATTGACCAAACATTATTAAAAACAAACAAAAATTAAAACTGAAAGCACCAGGTCAGCTCCAGGTGTCCCATACTAAAGGCTTGTTTGATTTCCTTCATA